CTGTAGGTTCAGGCTCATTTTCACTTTGAAACTAAAGGTAAACATACAGATGTTGATCACTAAAGGTAAACATACAGATGTTTGATAACTAAATGTTTGTAACTAAACATACAGATGTAACTCCATGGGGAAATATTGGTCATGATGTGAAATATTTGGCTGAACCCATTTATGATAATGGGAGTAACCAGTTTTCTTCTTCTGCATTCAATTCTCCAGTGGTGCCAAGTCATTATACCCTTTGCTGTTGCATGTAGCTGACCCCATGTTCTCCCCATCTTTTTTAACTTTACTCTCTAGCTCCCTTCTCCAAGTTTGTTTTTTGCTGGCTGTATTTCTGTGTCCCTGTGGGTTCTAGTGCAAAGAAATTCTAGTTAAAGTCGAGTCCACGTAAGTCAAACGGATAAGTCGAATTTCGGTTAAGTCGACATGACCAGCTTAGTCCCGGCAATTTTCTCTAGTGTGTGGGCTGTCTGGATAAGTAGAAATCCTAAAAAGTGGAAGCATTTTCTTAGGTCCCTGCGACTTCTACTTATCCAGACTCAACTGTATACTGTTCTCAGATATTCTCTTGTGTCCTGTCCAACACCAGCGTTTTTTCTTCACTTTCTGGTCCACCGAAACTTGTTTAATTCTCTCTATAGGTTCAGCATTGATGATTCTACCATTAACCAGTACTGTGCTGCACTGTTTTTCTTCCCAGATAATTTTCAGAATATGCTTACACTTTTTAACTTACTCACAGCTACACTGTTGGGGGGAAAAAATCCCTGTGCCTACTTGAAATTCAACTTGGACCACTCTTTTGTTAAAGTGAAGGCGACAGCATTCTAGCATTCTGAAACAAGGCTAAAGTCTAGATGTGGACGAACAGCCAGAACTTTCTGCCAGAGTTGCTGTCAGTGAACCTGAAGAAGAAGAATGGCAGACCAGCAAGACAGATTTCAGATACCCTGTTCATCCTCCACGGAAGTTATAATTAGGACACTTGTAACACTACACCAGCCAGGTTTAACATGTAGTCATGTAGGTGTAAGGAGTACTATTGATAGGTTAAAAACTGAAGTCTAATCAGTCTCTAAAGCAGTCGGGGCTGACACGTATCAGTTTCATATTTGTGCCAAGGAAATGAGCATGCTGTTGGCTTGCAGCTAAAGCTACTGTGGAGGGTGGATTAGCCATGGACCATGCTGCTATTCCGAATGCTCTACGAGAAGAAAGATCGTTGCGAGAACCAGGTCATGACTGAATCTGAAACCATGATCAGACTGCAAGAACAACATGTTGGGGGAGGGGGGGGGGGGGGATTGCTAGACAAGAGCAGTATGTGGAAAGCCAAAAAAGAATAAGAAACTAACACAGAACTTGTGTACCGAACCTCTACATATTGGAGGATTTACTAAGGAGGGGATCCGATCACTTATGGACTGAATGGTTCAATGTGCAATGAGGATAATCTGTTGACTCATCAACTAACTTAATGACTAATACTTTAAACTTGCCTCCTCAGATCTGGTATGATGCCACCTCATCTATACTAAATAATGATATTCTCTCAGGTGAGCAAACTTTTGAGCAGTGGATTTATAAACACAATTGTTATGTAAAGTGAGTTACAGAAAACTAGCTAAAATATAAATTGAATGTAATTCTTCTTCTTTTAAGTATAGGTTTAGACAATGGATCAACATCATGGCACAAGGAGTAACCCATAAGTGATTTGTTCTACTTCTGTCTCAAGCTTGAGTCCGAAGAATTATAGTGCATGAACTCTGTAGCATCGGCGAGGATCCTGAAATACATTTGGTAGATTTATAACTCCAAATTTTTGCCCAGTCAGCGTGGTTAGGCAAATCTTTTTGATTTCCAACTCTTTTTGATTTCCAACTGCCAACAGATTTTGTACGTGTGCAACAATACACACGGGTGTTTGATCTTACCACCCAGAGACTAGGGGAAATTACTAAAAGTCCATGTGGAAAAAAACCCAGCCGTCACCGGGGCCTGAATCCGTGACCTCCAGCCATTTTACTGGCTTATTTGTGTGCAATTGGTTGTTCCTTGCCGCTCTGGCAGATGCCCTCCGACTTCGAAAGAAGTCCCCAGCTAGTCGACTCCTGCGACATGCTTTTTGGCAAGGCAGTGTGTGTATTTTTATTTTCCCCATAATGGGGACCCAGAACCCAAACTGGGAATTGTGTGTAACAGTAACAACACATCTCATCCATGAAGAAAAAATGGAGCACCTAAATTTTTAATCATCATGTGGAAGCAGCTCCTTTGAGGAACGTCACTCTCATCACGATCTGCCGGAAACATGAAAGAAACTGTCTCTTGCCAGCTGTTGGTGCCTCATGCACTTTCGTACCCAAGGATTTATATCCTGTGCATTTCTTCATTCTGGTCAGCCCCTGCTCTCCTGTCTGGCACCATGCTTTCTGTCCGGTCCCCCCCCCCACCCCCCCCCCCCCCCCCCCCCCCCCCCAAAATCCGCCAAGGTGCTTATATGGCCAATATATTTTAGCTTCCAGGACAAGATACTGTTAATCAGTCAATTAGCTTTGATGTTCAGATCTTTTAGGATGTCAGTTTTAATAGATAGAACATTTTTTTAAAGAAATAGGTTTCCCTGTTAATGCTGTCAAATATTTTTGTTTGTTGTCTGCACATTCATTCTCATACTCCAAAAATCAATTAAAATTATTATAATGCTTGATTTCACTGTTAAAATTTATTGTGGCTATATAGTCATCTTCTTCTTCTTTTGTCATCTTACTGATACCAAGTTGTAGCCCAGTGTTGTGGTTTTCTGTATTTCTCTTGCGCTTCTCGGGTGGCTTGGGTAATGGGTTTGTTAATCTTTTTGCAGGTTTCTGCTACACCATTTAGCCATCTCTTTTTAGGTCTTTCCCTCGCCTTCCTCTTGGCTGAGTACCCTTCTAAATGACAAACTTCTGTCATTTCTACTAAATGACAAAACCTTGGTTCAAACATCTGTCAGCTAGCACTCCCACTGTATGGCTGCTTGTGCCCAAATGTCCGTTCCTGTCCTGCTAAAACAGAAAAGGTTCAGATGTACCTAGCTCAAGGATTTTACTTTACGACTCAAACAATTTGAGTGTCCACTACCAAAGGTCACACTAATCAGAGTGTCATAACTAGACAGGGAAGCCGTGTCTGCTGCATGGTTCCCAGAATGATGTAAACAATACTCAGGACATCCACCTGAACGATGTCATTGTCAAAGAGGGAAGTCTAACATGCTGACGAAGTTAGATGCCTCTTTGAGCGAGGAATCAGAGTCTTAGGTCTGCAGACTGCTTCTTGAGGATCCCTAAAGGGCGCAGCCCATAATGAGTGAAACGCTCACTATATGGATTGAGGTTAAGCCTTATGATTCCTTGGGTGAGTTCAGAACTAGAGCATCATGTGACGGCTCTGCATTTATTGAAGCCTCTTTGGATGGCAAGGAATGCTCATCCTCTGCTCTTGCCTTCCCTTGAGGGCTGACCAGTCTACACAGGGTTACTGGGGATAGATTCTCCAGGGGCAACACTTGTAGATAAGGGGACAAAGAGAAACCATACAAATAAGACTGCATCTTGTCCCACGTAACTATCCAAGGAAGTTAAGTCCATCAGCAAATGCTTGAAGAAGTCAGATGTTGCAGCCGAAAGCCAATACAAATATTGCAGCTTTGCTGTAAACTGGCACAGCACAATTATTTCACTCAGATTAATGAAAAGAAGAAGAAAGGTCCTTTCATAGTTAAATTTTGTCATTGTTTAACCTATTTGATTTTTTTTTCCCAACTTGTGAAACTATTACTGTTTTACAGTTTTATTTTAAGAGTTCAGATTTTTAAATCTAGAATATTTGAATGGCCAGAATTGTGTCTGTGAGCCAGATAGTAATAAGTATGAAATAAATCTGAATTTTAAAAAATAAAGGGGTCACTACACGGCATTTTTCCCAATTTATGACAAAAATATCACTTTTTCAATGTGTTCGTTTTTGTTAAGTTCGGCATTCGTAGAATAGATGACACATAAAATTTATGTCATTTGTAAACAATTTAGCATTGAAAAGTTAATACTAATGACACCACCTCGTGCACTTTTTTAAGATAAAAAAAAGTTTAAAAGTAAGTTTTCTCAAATCTCTATATTTCAGTTTGCTGTGTGTGTGAAATCCTAAAATCTAAGCTAATATAAAGAGTAGAAACAGGAAATTTTGAATGCATACTCCATAAACAATATTATAGGGACTGGTCTATCTAAAAGTAGATTTTAGAAAGATTTTGTTTTCTAAAATATGATTATTGTCTTATGATGCTCGATTTTTTGACTTTTTCAATAAACCTACATTTTAAAATTCTACGAAAAATATTTAAAAACATGTTTAAAGTAAATAAACTAGACCTGTACCTCTGAATAAGATAAAAGGTCATGGATCCATCCTCTATTGTTGAATATCTAGGTTTGTTTTTGAAATTTTAGGATTTTAAGTACATATTGTTTTTTTCACAAGATGGCGGTTATTGCCATGACAACTATGATTTTTTAACACTTTAAGTATACAAATGTAATAACATGTATCCCTACAAACGACCATTATAAAATAACTGCTCTAAGTCTGTAAATAAAAAAAATAAAATTTTTTGGTGTAGTGACCCCTTAACTGACTTACTGTATCAGTGGGAGTTGCCGTAGCGAAGTGGCTAGACGCCTGCCACGGATCGTAAGGTTGTGGATTTTCTCCCTGGAGGAGCCGGATTTGTTTCAAAAATGACCTTGGTTCCCAGGTCGACCCAGACTTGAATGGGTACCGGGTGCATTCCGGGGAAGTAAAGGTGGCTAGGATGATGCTGACCACACCACCCATCTTGTGCCGATTGGTCTATAAAATATAGGTCTAGCTTTATATGCCCTAAACGCCTAAAGGCGTGGAAAAGAGTCCTTTGCTTTTTTTTTTTTTTTTTTTACTTTCTTTTACTGTATCAGTGCAACTGAGAAATGGGTACTAGGAAATATTGTTGCAAGTAAATGTGACCACTTAACCCATTCAGATTTGATTAGCCTATTAAAATCTGACCCTGGCAACATGTGCTGGTACACTTTATGGTGTGGAAATTGATCCTTTATTTTTTTTAAACATCAAATTTTACTTTTTAGTACTGACTATTGTCATGTACTTTGCTGATTAGAATAGGTGATCACAGTTCGCCATCTCACATGATTAACAAAATCAGGAATCTGGTCTGTGTTCTTGTATGTGACTGTTGTACCTTCTGCATGCTTGAATTCTGAAAAGAATGAGTTTGTATATTTCAGAAATTCTCTTGTCCCTACTGGCAGAAGTCCAGAACATACCCTTCTGCTTGTATCTGAAGAATGCCAGCTTTTTGGATGAGACATGGGAAATGGGGGTAGGTTGATAACTGACATTTTGTATTGTGAGTTTGAGTGTTTCTTAGCTTAAGTATTTTGGTACCAAACAACTGTTAATTTATTTTAGTGTAAGAATGTGTTAGTTTAAGAAATAGTTTGGGTCTAGAGAGTTAAAATAACACATTTTCTTGTGTATTGGCAGCACCCTGTTTCTGATACAATAATTTTATTTAAAAAATGTTTTCTTAGAATTTCGTTGAGAGACCAAAACCGAAATATTAGTATTTGTTACAGAGGAATGAAAAGAAGGATAAGAAATACCTGTAAGCAGTGAAAGATGGGCAGTGTAAGAGCAAGTTACAGTTGTAAATATAAGTTGCCAGTAGTGGGTTGTGTGCAAAAAAATTAAAACCGAGCAGCTGAGAGGAATGTGGATGAAAAGAAATATATGAAGAGGGGTTGGAATGAAGGATGCTTTTGAAAAAACATTCCAAAGTCAACAGTTTTTTCATGGTAAAAAGGTAAAATGCTTGGAAGAAAGAACCAGTCTGCTAGAATATTTGGTAATGGACCACGGTGGCGTCAGTTACCGCTATTTTTCATAAGGTACATTTCAGAATGGTTAATATTTTATTAATAAATTTTGAATAAGTGACATGTAAGCTTAATATCTCAAATATAAGCCACACCAATGTTTTTGTCAACAATTTTTGGTTAAAATACTGAGGCCTTGTGACGTTACGGCCCACTTCCCTTGAGATTACAATATTTTTAGTGTGACGTCCCAGGTCGTGGGTTCTCTGGATTTGGGTTTAAATGATTTATATGTTGAGTAGGGATTTTCCTCTCAACACATCCCCTCCACCAGATTAACTGAACTATTATCTGGGCTATGTTGCTATCAGACAAAGTCCTGGATATCCAAGAAAACAGCCATATTGGCTCGTTATTTATATTAACTTTAGCTGAACTTGGTACCCACAAGAGAAGGAAATGGGTTTTAGATGTCTATATATTATTATCTTGAATGATTCACTAGACAGGGCAGTTGACCCAATCCGTCGACCTTCTCTTGGTAAAGAAATTGTATTATTATTTAATGAGCCCCCACCAAATGCTATTCTATCTTAACAGTTTAATTAAACATGTAAGAGCAGACACACTTGGAATTACAAAAACTGATGCAGGATAAGACCATATAATTGATTTATTAACCTAGCAATCATTTTGATTTATACTATATTTTTAGTCAATAGTGATGGTATGGTGGGAATGGGATACTTCAGCTAGATAACTGAGCACCCAAGATTAGAATAAAGTGATAATGGTGGTGTTTAGTTACAGAAATACAAGATACGTAACTTTTGTTGTTTTAGAAAAGTGGAGCTTCTGAGAGTCCTCGTGTTGAGTCCCTTCTTAGCTGTTCCCACTTTTCCGCCCAGTTCTCCTGGTCCTTCCACCTGGTTCCCACCTGTTTCCCAGCTGGCCGAGTTCTAACACAATGTAGTCTCGTGACCGTGATGACCCTCTATTTCTGTTCTTAGAAAAGACTGATCCTCACCCACATGGGAGCTGTAATAATGGAAACAAACACATACGTGTAGTATCTTGACTTACACTAAGAATACATGTGTCAATTAATACAATATATAATAATACATTATATCTCATCACTCCTCCTCATATTCCACATTCTCTCCAGTCTAATCTAAAGGTCTTTGTGTCTCACAATCGACGTCTCACATATCCTGCCTTCCCTCTAAGGTTCTGTCATGATAGTTGACTTTCTGTTGTCCGTCATCACTCAGACTTCCAACTTGCTGACATTGATTTGACATAAACATGTGGCGCAGGTTATGTGCGGAACACGCCAAACATTTTTACACGAGCATGCTGTCCTGAATATTATCTGGGTTCAGTGTTTCAGTGACAGTGAATAATATACACTCATGATTCTTCCCCTGGGGTTATAAATCCCCTGTTTAGGTGAACACATTAGGTGAGCACATGGTGGGCACACACAAACGTAACAGCATAGCTGCATATGTGGGCATCATTTCCCACTGTCCAAACTCATGTTTTGGTTGATGGTTGAAACATAATAATTTACATTTCATTATACAAGTCTTATTTTTATAAAACATGAAAACATACACTGAAAAAAACATGTTTGCCCACAAACATACAAAGAAATAGAAATGGTTTAGCAGTTCCCTAACTGAGATACTGAATACTCACAAAGAACTATTTCAAGCCAGAATGTGTAGACAAATTAGGAAAAAGGTAGAACAGATTTTAGCTAACTCCCTAACCTATGTATACAAGATTGAAAAAATCAAATTGTACATGCATCAATTTTTACCTGGAAACTTTCCAGCAATCGCCAAACTAGAATCAAACCATTAGATTTACCTCTAAGGTCGACCTGTTTGTTGCCTGTGGCAGCGATTATGGCAGAAATTCCAGGGCTAGTCTTATTAATACCCCTATCTGTCTGCAAGGTTTAACTCCACCCTCTACTAGGTTCTACCCAACCCTCAAGGAGATGACCACCCCCCACCCTCCCCCCCCCCCCCCCCCCAAAAGCCCCGCCTCTGAGGTACCTAGCAGATCAACCTAGCTAACAAGTAACCTGTCACTCAATTCTGGACTGACATCCCTAGAGCACACATTCTTAAGTGACCCAATCTAATTTACAACGAATCTAACTGGCAGATGTTAAAAGACGGTCAGTGAAGCCATTGTGTTTCCTACTAGACCAAGATCACCCCCAAAAACATTCCTAATTGCCAAACATCTGTTCTCTTGAGAATTTCACTATCATGTGTGACCCCCCCCCCCCCCCCCCCCCCCCCCCCCCCCCCCCCCCCCCCCCCCCCCCCCCCCCCCCCCCCCCCCCCCAACTTCAGACGCCGGCCCCACTCAGTGTGTGTTAGGTACCCTTTTATGACACTATGGTCAGATTCAGGGGAGCTAATCAGGTGTGATACGAAGTTATCTCCCCCTTTACTTGCCTCTACAGACTGGGCAGGAGATAATTATATGACATGGGCATGTGAAACTCTAGCTACAGTAGTATTAGGTAATATCACATAACGCAAGGTTGCTTTGTCTGGCTAAGAGGGGAAACACAGTTTAAACAATTCTCAAATCCCTTATAGTGGTTTTAGAACTATTTTAGGCTCAGTGTCTATTGCTTTTAATTCTTTGTCCTTCTCTGAACATAAGAAATTATTAAGCACAATATAACTTCTGAGACCACTGAGGTCATTTCGTCACAGGCCTATACACTCATAAATACTGTAATAACAATATGGGATACAATTGTTAGTTTTTAAGGAACAGAATGTGTTAATGTAACAACTGGATAAGTCTTCTTCTTCTTCTGTTTCTTCTTCTTGGTGCTTACCGGCTGTAAAATACAGCGGAAAGTTCTGTGTGTTGTCCACCTCTAGACTTCAGTCGTGATCTAAAACCTGAGTGTTTCATGCACATCCGCTTCACAGATCCGGCTTATTTGTATGCAGACTCATGGTTCCTTGCCTGTCAGGCAGATGTACTCCAGGTTCCAAGGATGCCCCCAGTAAGTCAACACCTATGACATGCCTTTTGGGAAGGAAGTGGATTCGTTCTTATTTTTCTCCAAATAGGGCCCTGGAACCCACACACAGAGAATGGGAATTCAAACCAAACAATTGATGCTAACTGGCAAGCAGCTGTCCACTGTGCTACCAATACAAATACCTCTCTGCCCAGTAGTTAATTGCTATGTAGTTAATTTAACTGTTGCCACAAGGTTCACTTGAGAATTACTAAGTGAATTCCCTGCGTGGGTTCAGAAGCCCAGCTAGCGTGTCGTAAACATAGACTACATGTTTTTTTCCTTTTGGAGTTAGAGTGGTCTTCCTAGAAGCATGGAAGTAACAGTCTACAAACAAATGAGCCAGATCTGTAAATGTGCATGCATAATGGATGTGCATACAGAGATCAAGTTCTGGAGCAAGACTCAAGTCCAGAAATGGATGAACAAGCAGAACTTTCAATCGGAGTTTACAGCCAGTGAACGCGAAGAAGAAAACTAAGGCCAATAAAGAATAATACCTCTTGATTTCCTGCACCACTCTGCTGTAGTACTGTGGCTAGCATACCTGCAGGTCAGCCTAGTTGTTATGTGGTTAAAGTCAAAGTGGAGATGTTCTTAAAATGTTTACACAAGCTTTCAAGCCGGTGTGGTCTAAAATGGGGACCACAATTTGGCTGGGAAGTATGTGCAAAAGTGAAAGCATCTTATTGTTTTGTTTCTTGATTTAGTCTGCTATTTTTGCCTCTTTCTCTTTTCAGGAGTACAGAGATTATGAGTTTGTTCCTTGTGATGTTCTAGGTGTTCATCTTCAGTAAGTAGTGGAGATTGTGTGTATGTCCTTTAGATTTGAGAATATCAGTGAAAACAGATTAGAGTATCGCTAGGAAAAATTAGAGTGTTGGTATTGCAGCTTCTGTTTGGGTCAGTTTATAGTTGGGTATTTGTAATATTGCCGAAGATTGTGAGCGGGTTGATTAGATGTTATACCATCAGTAGATGTTAGTGATAGACAGTGTGTTGATTAGATGTTAGAGCTTCAGTAAGAGATTTTCAAGATTGTTAATGTGTTGATTAGATGTTATATCATCAGTAGGTGTTGGCGATAGACAGTGTGTTGATTAGATGCTAGAGCTTCAGTAACAGATGTTCAAGATTGTGAAGGGGTTGATTAGATGTTTAAGCTTAAGTAAGTGTTGGAGTTTATAATTGGCTTGATTTTATGTTGAAGCTTTAGTAAGAAATATTGGAGATTGTGAGTGGGTTGTCTAGATTTTAAAGCCTTAGTTAAGTATCAGAGATTGTAATTGGATTGATTAGATGTTAGAGCTTTAGTTTAAAAAAAAATATTGATTAGATGTTAGAACTTCAGCAAGTGTCTCTGTGCACATCTGATTTAGCCAGGTTTCTTTAGCCTCTTTGCATTTGTTCACCATTTCTTTATGTATACTAGAATATTCTGGTGAATTGTGACATGTTGGTGCATGGAATGTGAATAATGCTTATACCACCATAACAAATCAATGCAAGTTGGACTGCTACCAAATTACCTGCCGCTCACTTCGAATCCTGGTATATCAGTACTATGAAACTGCACTCACAACACCCAAAGCCACAAACACAACATTAAATAATATGTAAAATTAGCCATATTTGTCTGTTCACCTATGTGTATGGCTTTTGTCATTGTGTTTTTTATCAACAGTATCATCTTTCATACTGCAAATCATTTCCATTACAGGTAGAACAATATTTAACTGTCCAGTTAAACCTGACTTAGTGGCGACCAGGTGACGAACTCCTTGTGGTCTGGGTTCCTGCCCGGGAAGGCAGAAAAGCCACATTTCTCTCAGATTTATAGTATCTTTTGTAATCAAGGCTGAAGGGTTGCGATATCCATAGTACCGAGCTAAAGGGTTAACAACTCATGGTTTCTGTATTATTTAAAAAAAAATTTATAATAAGCTGTTTGTCTTGCATCCTCTGTTTAGTTCTTCATCTATCTTGCTTTCTGTCCAATTATCTTGTACTCATAACCTAACCATTTCTCTTCCTGATATTGTTTCTTTCAAGATGTCATCATTATCATTTTTTTTTAACCTACTGATAGCTGTAGTTCTACAATTTTTGGGCCATACTGTGACAGAATACTGAAGTAGCCCTGTTAGTTTCATTATATAAGTGTGAAGTAAAAGAAATATCTCCCCATTAGCAAGCTGAAGTTGATTGTGTATTCACTTGTTTTCTGTTCCCAATAGTTATGTGAACACACACCTTATTGTAACAGACATCGATCCTGAAAGTGTTGCAGCTGAGGATGTGAGTATGCACTCTTCTCCTCTCGTAGTAATTTAAATAAAATACTTATCATCATCTCTAGCAGGTCTTTCACAGAAGGCCACTCTTATCGTGTCCAGAAGGCCATCTGGTCACCTGCCGCCTTTCCTGTTTTGTGAATATTCGTGTCCAGTGTGTCCTTGATATCCTGTATCCACCATCCTGCTGGATGACCCATGCCTCTTCTTGCAGGAATAATATTCACCATTACCATTCTTACAAACTGTTGTGCCATTTTAAATACACATGCATTAAATATGTCAGTGACATAACAAGAATTTTGATTCAATAAAGTCCCCTTGAGGCACCATTTTGTGGGAAACAAGAACAGATCCACTGCTCCCTAACAAGTTTGTCGTAAGAGGTGACTAATTAGGAGGCTTTTTCTGAGTCAGGGTGCATCTGCCTGAGAGACAAGGAACCAACAGTCTGCATTAAAATAAGCTGCTTTTTAGGAGGCATTGTGTCTTTTTCTCCTCCGACACCCACCATAAAACATTTGAGCCCTTTCCCCATATGGGGAACATATGGTCTTAAAGAGCTGTGTGAAATTAATCATCATTTCTCTCCATAGCTTTATGTCTCCTGTGCCGCCAATCATTTATATATATATAATTTAATATATATATATATATATATATATATATAATATATATATATATATATATATATATATATATATATATATATATATATATATATATATATATATATATATATATATATATATATACCACACCACACACACACGCACACTTCATGCCTTGATGCCAGAATTTCCTCCACTTTTGCTTTTCTCCCTCCAGCTTTTGTCTGTTGTCACATAACAAAGATCCAGTTATCACCTACAGAAGACAGGTTGAATGTGGCAGATGTGTACAGGTTTTTCCTAAAAACAAAAATATAATGTTGACCTGTGCTTTTCCCTTTTTATTTCTTTTTCTCATCTATCCAGGGGAAAGTATGCATTGGAGATGTCATGGACGAATTGTACACCGAAAGTCTCCGGGGATCCAAGAGAGGAAAGGTCGGTGGGTAGAATGGGGCCAGATATGAACACATATCTTTCATACAGGGCTAGACCTATATTTTATATACCAATCGGCACAAGATGGGTGATGTGGTCAGCATCACGTAGGCAGCTTTTAGTTCCCGGGACTGCACCCGGTACCCACTCAAGGTTGGGTTAACCTGGGAGCCAAGGTCATTTTTGAAAAAAAGTCTGGCTCCACCAGGGAGCGAACCTACAACCTTCCGATCCGCAGCAAGCATCTAGTCGCTCCGCCACGGCCACTCCCCTGTCCCCTTATGGGATACCATTTTTTATTATTTTAAAGCCCCACTCTGGGTGTTGTCAGGGGCCCTGGCTATAACGGACATGTTGAGCAGGGTTTCTTGGACCTGCCCCCGGCTGATCCTTTTCCGAATGGTGGGACTTTGTGTCACCAAGTGTTGGTCACTTGTTTTGCAGGCCTGGTGGGATAGAAAGTCAGACTATGGCATAGTAATCAATTTCCTTGCCTGCTAAGACAATGGTAGACTGATTCAGCAGGGGTAGGATTATTGTTCCAACCAGTAAAGTTGTGGTATCCACCCAGCCTCATAAAGCAGGCACCAGATAATTTACTGGGAAAGGAATTTACATAATCCCTGAATAGCAATGGTTCGTGCTTTCAGCTGTCAGCTGTTCTTTTAGTTGTTTCTTTTGTGGAATTCTTCTTATGTATCTTTGTAGAAGTGAATAAATAACCCTTTTTACGCCAGGCTATTATTGTCAGCTGTTCTTTTAGTTGTTTCTTTTGCAGAATCCTTCTTATGTGTCTTTGTAGAAGTAAATAAATAACCCTTTTTACTTCAGTAGTGCATCAGGCATATCATGCTAGACATATTTTTATAGACCAGTTGGCACTTGATGGGTGGTGTTGTCAGCCTCGTAGTGGCTGACTTTACTTCCCAGTGCATTATCTGGTACCTGTTTTTACCTAAGCTGAGCTGGAAGTCGTGATCAGTTCAGAAAACATCCACCTCAATGTGGATTTGACCTAAGACCTTCAGGCTGACTTTACTTCCCAGTGCATTATCTGGTAACCATTTTCAGCTGAGCTGACCTGGAAGCCGTGGTCAGTTCAGGAAACATCTACCTCGATGTGGATTTGACCTAAGACCTTCAGGCTGACAGGCGAGTGTTAGTCACTGCACTACCATAGTTGCCTAATCAAGCATGTATGGTATCAAGCACAGAGCACGCATTATAGCTCTGGCGATGATTCTTTTTATTATTATTATCATGCCTGTGTGTTGGGAAATGAGCAGGCAGATAGACTGGCCGGCTCTGCACCACTTAGTGGTGAAGTGATGTGTGACAAGCTAAAAACTGTGAGGCCTTTTGGGAGCGAATAAACATGGCGGAGGCAAAGATAGACCATTACGGTTTGAGGAGAATGGCGCTGCAAGGAGTTACCGGGGGATCTGGGAGATGCTCAACACTCAGGGGAAGGGCGAGAAGGATATACAGACAGTTACTGGCACCATCGGAATTGGAACTCTTCACTTGCTGTTGTCAATTCTCAATTCAACATTCAGCTGCCTAATGTGTCTTAAACCGTGACATATTTTTGTCTCAACAGGTTAGAGAATTGTTCCAGATTTACAAAGGCATGCCAGTCTATGTCAGCTTTGTGAAGGTAAGCACTTTGTGTTGGGGTTCCACTATAGCATTACTGAGATGTTTCTTTGATTTTATTCTAAGCATAAAGTAAGTAAAGGTCCCTTTACACGACAGTGGCATATCGGGCATATGAGGCAGGACTCATTTTTTAAATACCAGTCATCCCTTGTTGTGGTCAACCTCATTCCAGCCGCCTCTACTTCCTGGGACTTTACCTGACACCCATTTTAGGTTTGGTCGACTTGGGACCCAAGGTCATGCTTTGAAAAAAAAATCTGGCTTCATTAAGGACCCATGACAGTCTAAACAGAGTTGACAAGGCTGGGTTATATACATAGACCTGTTTAGGAAAAACAAAACCTTGCCTGCATAGTTCATGGGGGTTGCACTAACCAGGCAACTTTAAATCCTCCCCCTTCAAGACTTCCTGTCCCAAAAAGCTTTAAAAAATGGCAAATATAGTCAGTAATGACTTTTGAACACAAGGATCTCAGCCATGTTACTGAGGCAGTTATGTTGCATAGAAAGTGGCAAGTATTGTTTCAGAGGTCCTTTGGAGTTTTTCTCCTGGGCATGTAGGTGTATTGCTCACAGTGTCGCACCATGCACTCAACCCAGTAGCTAGACAAGTGAACTATATCCTTTCAGTCTACATATGGAAGAAAATGCAATCCTGCCTATCTGCCATATTGGCTGGAAGTCCTGTGGTAAATTCAAGGGGATATATGTACAGAGGGGGAGTCACAGTGGCGTAGCGGCTAGACGCTCGCCTGCGGATCAGAAGGTCGTGGGTTTGTTCCCTGGCGGATCCTGACTTTAAAAAAAATTACCTTAATTCCCAGCTCGATTCAGCACTGAGTGGGTACCAGATGCAGTTCTGGGAAGTAAACGTGGCCAGCATGATGCTGACCACATCACCCTTCTTGTGCCATTTGGTCTATTAAAATATAGGTCTAGCCCTATATGCCCAATATGCCTAAAGGCGTGGAAAAGGGTCCTTTACTTTTTTATATACAGAGGGAGACCAAGAAAGAAAATATTGAACAGTTTGTCAACATAGCATGAGAAACTATCTTTTTTTAGATATGATTGATGGTACACAAGACTGGGGACATAGTTATCAGAGCTGTACATCATGTACTAAATGAAGAAGTTAAAAGTCACATTTATTTCTTCTAGGGACGCTTGCCAAATGGCCAGATCTATAGGCCAATTGCTCACCTACTACGGCAAATAGACTTTGACTTTGGTCGAGTAGGCACATCTCAAGAGATGCAACCAGATGCTTTGAAGAGCATCCGGAAGCCTGCCCATGCACTGCTGCCAGAGGAGGAGCAAGACGAGATCCCTGTGCATGGTCCAGATGGAAAGTAAGATGTGATGTTTTTGTTCTCTATCCATCCTCTGCTACTTATGTGATGTTTTTATGCTGTATCCATTGTGGGTCACTTATGTGATGTTTTTTTTAAAAATGTTGTATCCATTATGTGATGTTTTTGTGTTAAGTCATACCTGTACTTGTCAAGTGATATTATCTGTGATGTATTCATCCTCTGCTAATTGTGTGATGTTTTTGTGATGCATCTATCCTCCGCTAGTTATGTGATGTTTTTGTGATGTATCCATCCGCTGCTAGTTATGTGATGTTTTTTGTGATGTATCTGTACCCATACTGTGTTATATGATTTAAAAAAATGATCTTCTTCTTTTTCTACCCTCTACTTCTGGAATGCCTCGCGACGTCAGGGAAGAAAGAGATCCCTGAAACTGGCCCTTCTAAAATTATTTTTATCCGCTGCTAATCATGTAATTTTGGTTGAATCTATCATGTGTTAGTATTTTTTTTTAAAATTTATCTTCTGCCAGCAATGAAATGCAAAAGAGGAAAAGTAGCTTTTTTTTTTTCTTCAGTTAAATGGAACCTCAGCATACAAATTTAATCCTTTGATTGGCTGAGCTCGTATGGTGAATAACTCATATCTGAAACTATTTATCCCAATAACCCTACCAGACCTGAGGCCCTGAACCTAACTGCCCCCTATACCTGAGCTCCTGGTCATTAACGCGAAAAAACCAACATGATATATAAAAATATTAGTTACCTGCAAACAAGTGGTTAAAATAAAATAAAACTTAGAGACATTGTAGAGAATAGGTTTACCTTTCATCTAGCACCAATATTCCACCTTTGTGTGCCAATCTACCTATTAGGATCAATCTTGTTTCACAAAGTGAACACCAGATGTTTTTTTTTCCCCTACTTTCGATCTATTTCTATATTTATAATTTTCAAGATTCTCCTCATCATTCGAGCTCTCATTGTCTGTGTCACTTCAAATGGGAACATATTCTTCATGAAATTGTGACTCCACAGAGTCTGAGTCAACCAAAGTATTGATCACCTGTTGGACTGTGAAATGCCTAGACCTACTTCACTTTCCTGTCAAAGTGCTTAGTTCATCAGCCGCTCATTTTATTGTGAATTTTCAGATTTTTTCATGTAAATCAACATAAATTGAATCCAAACACGTGCGGGCAGACATCTGAAAAGATTATCCACAAGATCTGATTACGATTGGCTAGTTATTTTTAGTGTGCGACGCATTGTTTTCTCATTGTACGCTAATTCCAGACATTGAGAGACAGCGGTTTAGTGGCAGATTAGGAAATTCCTGTAATAGCGGGTCAGCGCTCTGGTAGAGTTAAAATGTATGTGAATTATTTTAACTTGTTGCAGCCATCCAAAAATCACCCTATTGGTTTCAAAAGAGGTAGAGTTTTTTTCCCACTAATGGGGAAAATGTGTGGTTCTGTGTTTTTTTTTACCTGGAGGTGGAAAACAAGTTTACTTTCTACCATAATACAACAGTCCATCATCATCATCACATGCCTTGGCGGCTTTCTTAAATTCTCCATTCAGCAATATTAACGTGACTTAATTCATTTAAACATTACCAATATGCTGTCGGGGTAACGCCAAGGGTTCTTGCCTCTCCAGCTCACTTCCTGGATTTCACCTCATATCCTGGAGCTCTGGGAAGGCTAACCCAGTCAGCAAATGCCAACAGAAGTCGGATTTGTTGGCCGAAAGGTGCAAATGTCACAGCCATGCTGTTAATGGGTATTGCACAATTACATCTTCAGATAAAAGCAGAAGAAGAAATCCTGGGGCAAAAATATTGGCGAGTTTGACCTCAGATCCTGAAAAACTGGTATCCAGGTACTCACGTATCCTGATGTTCCACTCTATATCCAGACCTCTGTAGCGTGACTGTGTGTCAACTGTTTGCAGCTCGAGACTGTGACCAACAATAATCTGTTGACTGCCCATGAGCTCAGACTATCATCTACTGCCATGGTTTTCTTACGTAAGTTCTAGAACTAAATGGATACGCCACCTCGCCTAGAGATGTTCATAGTCTAGTGAAGATACTTTAATTTTCCTTTGTTAGGGGATGCTCTTATCCTTCTGCCTGTATGGTAATGGTGTTTGTTATTGGAAGACACTGTCCTCCAAAATATATGAATTTTTATACATTTATTATCTCTTGTCTAATAGAAATCACATGGCTTTTTGTCCACAGGGCAGAGTATACAGTCGTCTACCGAGGAGTGTATCCCCTTGGAGAGGTAAACATTAGTTTCCTTTTTTCCCCCTTCTTTTCTTAATGTGGGTTCCGGGGTTTTATTGGGAGGACAACATGAATAGACCCACTGCCTCACCAACAGGCATGTCATAGGATTCAACTAATTGGGGGCTTCTTTTGAATTCTGAGTGCACCTGCCCAAGCGGCAAGGAACAACCACAAATAAGCCAGTGAAATGGAGGTACACTCAAAACTCAGGCCCTTGCACAAAGCCAAAATCCAAGTGGACAAAACAACCAGGGATTCTTTGCTGGAACTTACAGCTGGTTAACCAAGAAGAAGAAGATTACATGCTTTTTAAATTCTTTCTGTTTTTCTTTCCTGCCTCTATTTTTTTTTAAATTTCACTGTTCTTTTTTTAAATGGCAAACACAAAAGAAGAAAAAGAAGAAGAATTTGCTCTACAATTTTCTCATAGTGTTTCCTATCCAGTAGCACTGTCAGCATCTGTTACGTTGTGTCCAATTTGCCAAGACATGTTTGTTTCTAGACTGAAATAGCTGGGGCAAATTGAGAGAGTGTCAGATGACAGAGAAGTAAAAACTGTATACATAGGGAGCTGAATGATCGTAGACCACAAGGCAGACCAAGAAGATGATGGAGAGTTAATATACGGACAGACCTACAAACTGTTGGTGTCACCAACTGGAAAGAGAAGGCCAACCAAAGAGATGAATGGAGGTGGGTGATATCTGCAGCACTGAACCTCAAGGGCTTGAAATGCTGAGGAAGAAGTACATGTGTGCTTCTGATATCATCAGTAGGTAATTTAATACCTTCATGTGCTACAAACAATCTGTAGTAGCAGATTGTGTCTGCTCAAGCAGAACTTTAACTCTTTCAGTACCCAGCAGTTATCACTTCTCCTTATATCTATCCAAAAGAGTTGAGCTTAAATATAATAAATACTAAATTATGAAGGTGTTCAAGAGAAATACTGTGGGGCAATAGTGGTTAAACTAATAATTCCATTACAAAGGGGTAATGTAACACTCACTCATGGTAGAAGAAACAATAACATTACATTACTTTGGAAAGATCAAGAAATGAATGATGAGTTGTTTGGTATTGAAAGAGTTAAATTTGCACACACAGAAATTACCTACAACAGTACATTTATAAGTACCTTCAGGATCAGCATGACTTATACGTATACTGGGTAAATCAGGATTTAAAAAAAAGTATTTCATGCCACAACTACATATGGGGCTATAGACAAGTCAGGGCTTGAGGAGTGATATGGTCAGCATCATATCAGTGCCTTCCATTTCCTGGTACCCAAAATAGACCAGGTTGACCAGGAAACCAAGGTCAGTGATTTAAAAAAAAAGAAAAACTTGCCTCTGTAGGGATTTGAACTTTTTTGTTTATTCACCGACTGTAAACTTTGGTTGTTCATCCACTTCTGTACATGGATAAGGGAAAAAAAGAGAACACCAGCACACAAGTAAGGCCATAACCTGTCCCTATCCCACAAAACTATCCTGGAAGTTAACCCGGTCAACAAATGCTGGATGAAGTCGGATGTGTCAGCCGGAAGGCACAAATATCACAGGCACAATGCATTGATGTCACTCGGATAAACAAAAAGAAGAAGATATTGAAGATCAATTGCAAGTAACCTTCGGCGTAATGATAATACTTGATTTTATATATGGGCCATTTTATTTCAGGTTATTGAATTGGTGTATCTTTATTATTCACATGCCTAACTGTTATGTGCCATGCATTGTTTTTTCCTAGGATGGAAGGGTAGACAGAATCCATGATTCAATCGAGAGTGTCATAACAAATAGAGAACACAAGAAACAGGTAATGCTAAGAGTTTAATGTGATCATACAAAAAGCAACAGGCTAAACTAAGAGTGTTAGGTGACTGTACATAGTATATACATCTTATTTATTATTTTATGTCAACTTGAAGAGCTCTGCCCGTCTGGGACAACGCATTAGTGCTTTTGCTTAACATGCTTGCCTTATGGAGTTCATGCTAATTGCTTTCATGAGCTCTTCTTCCTCTTTGCTTTTGCTGGCTGTACACTCCAGCAGAAAGTTCTGGTTGTTCGTCCACTTCTAATCTTTAGTCTTGTTCCAGAACTCGAGTGTTGCGTGCAAAAACTATTAACAAATCTGGCTTTTTTGTATGCAGATTGTTGGTTCCTTGCATCTGAGGTAGGTGCACTCTGACCTCAAAGGAAACCCCTAATTAGCCGACTCTTACAACATGCTTGTTAGGGGACAGGGGGTCTTTTTTTTGTTTTCCCCATAATGGGGGCCCCGGAACCCACACGGGGAAATCTTGAACTGAACGATGCTCCTTGAAATGGACCTTTGACCTTCAGAGTGTGAGGCGAACTGCTTGACCACCTAGACGCCCAAGTCATATCAGCTGTGACGTTATGTCCCACTCCCTTTGAGATTACAACACTTTTAGTGTGTCGTCCCGGGTCGTGGGTTTTCTGGATTTGGGTTTAAATGATTTATATGTTGAATAGGGATTTTCCTCTCAACACATCCCCTCCACCAGATTAACTGAACTAATATCCAGGCTATGTTGCTCTCAGACAAAGTTCTGTCATTATAGTTGACTTTCTGTTGTCCGTCATCACTCAGACTTCCAACTTGCTGATATTGATTTGACATAAACATGTGGCGCAGGTTATGTGCTGAACACGCCAAACATTTTATTCGAGCATGCTGTCCTGAATATTATCTTTCAGTGACAGTGAATAATATACACTCATGATTCTTCCCCCTGGGGTTATAAATCCCCTGTTTAGGTGAACACATTAGGTGAGCACATGGTGGGCATACAAAATGTAACAGCATGGCTGCATAGGTGGGCATCATTTCCCACAGTCCAAACTCATGTTTTGTTTGATGGTTGAAACATTATAATTTCATTACATTTCAGTATACAAGTCTTATTTTATAAACATGAAAACATACACTGAAAAACATGTGCCACAAACATACAAGAAATAGAAATGGTTTAGCAGTTCCCTAACTGAGATACTGAATACTCACAAAGAACTATTTCAAGCAGAATGTGTAGACAAATTAGGAAAAGGTAGAATAGATTTTAGCTAACTCCCTAACCTATGTATACAAGATTGAAAATAATTGTACATGCTTACCTGGAAACTTCCAGCAATCGCCAAACTAGAATCAAACCATTAGATTTACCTCTAAGGTCGACCTGTTTGTTGCTCATGGCAGCGATTATGACGGGAATTCCAGGGCTGGTCTTATTAATACCTCTATCTGTCTGCAAGGTTAAACTCCACCCTCTACTAGGTTCTACCCAACCCTCAAGGAGATGACTTAAGCCCCCCTCTGAGGTACCTATCAGATCAACCTAGCTATCAATGGGCCTGTCACTCACAGTTAACGGCCTACAGTACGACCTTGACCAAGATTAAACATTCCTAATAGCCAAACACCTGTTCTCCTGAGAATTTCACTATCATGTGTGAAACTTCAGACGCTGGACGCCATCCTGTCTAGAAATGTTTACCAGACCACTTAATTCCCCTGATTTAGCCTTTTCAAAAGCCCTACTCTGTGTGTGTTATGCAACTTTTATTATACTACGGTCGGGTTCAGGGGAGCTAATCAGGTGTGATACTACGTTATCTCCCCCTTTACTTGCCTCTACAGACTTTATCTGACACGGGCAGGTGAAACTCTAGCTACAGTAGTATTAGGTAATATCACATAAAGCAAGGTTGCTTTGTCTGGCGAGAGACTGGAAACACATTTTACACAATTCTCAAATCCCTTGTAGTGGTTTTAGAACTATTTTAGGCTCAGTGTCTATTGCTGTTAATTCTTTGTCCTTCTCTGAACATAAGAAATTATTAAACTCAATATAACTTCTGAGACCACTGAGGTCATTTCGTCACATCAGCTTAACTCTTTGGATCCTAGTGGGTTTAGCATCACAGGCCCAAGGGGTAGTAAAGGGAGACATAAAATTGGCGCACCATGCATTATTTGGGCTTCTAGGTAGGAACCTATGAATGTCTGATATGTTCCTTGGCACTCAGAGAGTCAACATTAGTACCAGGAAACATCGGGAATGAAGCACTAGTGTTATATTGACCTACTCGCCCACGGAGTGCCCAGTAGTCTTTACAAATGTATGTCTCAACATACGGCTAACACCCAATGTCACTGATGTTAAAGGTCACTATATTTATACTTTCAGTTAATTTATTTGATCGCTTTCTCCTCAAAAGGATAGGAATAGTAAAATTGTTGAAATTTTTTGTTATTAAATCTGTAATCGATTTTGTTGCAGGTAGTGAAGATTCACACAACAGAGACAGGTGTGGAGGTTAGGCGACTTTCCGACAATGAGGTATGAGCTCTGCATATTTAGCTTCTTCTCATATGTTAACTGTTCTTTGTGCACTTGGATGGAGGGCAGTTTGTTCTTGAACATCATAATAAATGTTAATAACACCACTTTGCTCTTTGTGGTTGTATCAACAGAACCCCTATTTTCTTGATCAAAGGAAAGCAGTCATTTATTTGCTTTGTTAGTATTTAGTGACTACATATCTTTATATTTAAAAAACAAAAACAAAATAACATTTGTACAAAATAATGAAAAAATAATTTTTTTGATTAGGGAACAGTGATGGTGCAGTAACTTAGTACGCTTGCCTAACTGCTTGGTGGTCATAGGTTTCGACCCCCTGGATTTTTATAAAAACTGACCAGAACTGAAAATTTCTTCTGCTTCTTCTCCTCTTTCTCTAGTGTTTTTTTTTTTTTTTTTTTAAACAAAATTTGGGAAAAGTGTCATTTTCAAAGAATTTGTAGGGCAGAAAGGGTTAACTTAATGTTTGTAAGAGTTATATTAAAGGTAAATGTAGCTCCATAGCAGATACTACCATTGAAGTGTGAAGAGTTGGGCTTTAACATATTATAGGCCATGATATGTGAGTTCTCTTCCTTGTCTCACCTGTCTTTCTCAAAATTCTTTGTAATGTTCACTGGCTGTAAACTCCAACAGAAAGTTCTGGTTGTTCATCTATTTCAACTATTATTACACAGGGAAAAATATTTGGCTAGCACTCTGTGAAGTCCCATTACACATCAAGGCATGGATAAGGAACTTTACTGCTTAAATTGGATAAAATAAAATAACCATTTAAGGTACCCGAATGAAATTCAACCCACCAGGACCGTACAACAAGCGATCAACACCCGGTGACACGTTGCGCCACCATTCGGATGAGGATCACCCGGACACAAGTTATAGAAATCCCGCTCAACTGTTAGGTTATATTAAGGCTCGCAACTACGGCCGTGGGGCTTTAAATTAACGAAAAATTGTGGCCCACATTGAGACAGGATTGAATGCGCCTACACTATTTTTCATACTTCAGTGCAGAGGAGGAGAGATTGTAAATGGGTGAATAAATCTGAATCTACATTTGGTGAATGTCTGTTGTTAATTCTCTTGCAGCTTCTGCTGAACCATTCTTACACAGAAGTGTCGGCTTGTGGCCGGAGAACAGACATGCTCTTGTATTTTGCTTACATTGCAGGGTGAGTAGACTGCAGATGTTAGGATAGATAGTACCTCACGAATGAGAATGCTAGATTTGAACTCTTTGTATTCCATTCAACTGTTGTATATGTGTATTTGTACCTGGAATATGTAGTCTCAACACATATTTAATAGACCAGTCAGCCATATGTGGGGGATGTGGTCGGCATCATGCTGGCTGCTTTTAATTCCCAGTTGAGTTGAGTCAAGGATTGACATCACAGCGCCCCGGGCATTCCTATGCATGCTCCATCCTCATCTTCAGCAGCCAGCGTAGAGTTCCAATACTGATGGTACCAGTCACAATCTGGTTATATGTCCGTCTTGCCTTTCCTCTGAGTGCAATGAGCATTCTTTACTTACCAGTGCATTATCTGTCTAAACTCATTTTAGGCTAGTCAGTCTGATTGCCAAGGTCAGTTTTGAAGTGGAAAAAAACAATTAGCTTCTCAATGCAGCCAAAAAAAAGGGACTTTTACACTAAAGAAATCTGGCTAAATATTTCATCATGCAGTACAGTACATGTTTAAAAAAAAATTCATTTGTTGCAATTTTTTTAAAACAGTTAATGCACACCTTTTTAAATTGCGGTTACTGTCTTTATTGAAAATCCGCTTCACAATTCTTTCTGATTAAAATAGTTAAAGACGGTAAGATTTGTATTTCATTTTGATCTTGTTCAGGTGCAGTTCTTCTTCTCCTCCTCTTTCTTCTTCTTCTTCTTCTGCCTCTTCTCTTCTTCTTCTTCTTCTTCTTCTTCTTCTTCTTCTTCTTCTTCTTCTTCTTCTTCTTCTTCTTCTTCTTCTGCCTCTTCTCTTCTTCTTCTTCTTCTTCTTCTTCTTCTTCTTCTTCTTCTTCTTCTTCTTCTTCTTCTTCTTCTTCTTCTTTTTCTTCTTCTCCTTTTTCTTTCTTATTCTCCTCCTCCTCCTTCTTCTTATTCTTCTTTTCCTTCTCCTCCTCCTCCTCCTTCTGCTTCTTCTTCTTCTCCTCCTTCTACTTCTTCTTCTTCTTCTTTTTCTTCTTCTCCTTCTTCTTTCTTTCTCTCCTCCTCCTTCTTCTTATTCTTCTTCTCCTCCTCCTCCTTCTGCTTCTTCTTCTTCTCCTCCTTCTACTTCTTCTTCTTCTTCTTCTTTTTCTTCTTCTCCTTCTTTCTTTTTCTCCTCCTCCTCCTTCTTCTTATTCTTCTTCTCCTTCTCCTCCTCCTCCTTCTGCTTTTTCTTCTCCTCCTTCTCCTACTTCTTCTTTTTCTTCTTCTCCTTCTTCTTTCTTTTTCTCCTCCTCCTCCTTCTTCTTCTTCTTCTTCTCCTCCTCCTCCTTCTGCTTCTTCTTCTTCTCCTCCTTCTACTTTTTCTTCTTCTTCTTCTTCTTCTTCTTCTTCTACTTCTTCTTCTTCCTCTGTATTTACCGTTAAAAGGTTGTGTGAGCCACTAGTCACTCGCCTGCAGATCCAAAGGACATATGTTCAGGTCCTGACAAAGCTGGATAAAAAAAAAATGACTTTGGCTCCCAGGCCGACAGCCTTTAAATGGGTACTAGGTAAAGTCCTGGGAAGTAAAGGCCGCTGGCACGCACAGAGTGCTGATTGGTCTATCAAATGTAGGTCTAACCCTGTATGCCCAATACACCTTAATGCACGGAAGAGTCTTTTACTTTACTATCTACCATATATTGTTGTTTACTGTTATGCTGTGAAATTGTGCATTTCGACCCAACATATCTGATTTCAGCAAATTATTAATTAGTCACTTGGTACAACATGTTTATTAAGTGGCAGTGGAATTGTTCCCCCCCCCCCCCAACCAAGAGCCCATACATACAGGGACTGTATGGTTGCATTTAGACAATTGGTTTCATTAACTGGCTAAATTACAAGAGTGAGAGAGGTGAAATCTACTAACCAGGAAACAACTTGTATGTTACATTAGTAAATATTTTGTGCAATATTATATCATCTGGGACCGTATAACAAAGAAGAATCTAAAGTTGGATCTGCCTGCCTCAAAACTGGAGACACTGTTGTTATTGTGCACATCTAATATCAAGTTCAATTTCCTCAAGCAGTCCTACCGCCAGATTGACGGAGTGGCCATGGGAAGCCAGCTGGGTCCTACCCAGGCAGACATCTTTATGGCACACTCAGAAGAAAAAAAGATCTCTGGACATTGATAACTTGATGTGTTAAAAACATTGTGTAGATGATATTCTTTTTGTTGCCACTGAAAAACAACAAGCAGAAATACTACACAGGCAGATGAACCGGGCACACAAAAACATCTCACTGTCCCTACAACATGAATGTAACAACACAATCGCCTTTTTAGACATCCTGATCAGACGGAAGGAAGATGGCACCATCCAACGATCAGTATATAGGAACGATACTTGGACGGGCCAGTACATGAACTTTAAAAGCTTTGCACACATCCAGTACAAATGTGGCCTACGAACATTATTCAACCACGCTAGAAAGATTTGCTCCAATGATACACTACAGTCTAAACTAGAAACCCTTAAACAAACGTTATTATTGAACGGATACCCAGTTGGTTTTATTAAGTGCCACTGCTAACCTCCTAAACCAACTACTACAGAAACGTCAGTCCCCAAACAACAAGTCTACATACATCTAACCTATCAAGGGGATGACGTTATGAAATGGCTATACGACTGGCTCAAAACAACAGTCAGCCAAATTTTCTACGCCGCTTTGCCTATTATCAGGTTTAAAACTACACCCATGCCAACGCCCTCGGTGAAACAACCGGTGTCGATGTACGCCAAATCAAATTGTATCTACCAATTTAAATGTAGCTGTGAAGCTGCTTGCGTGGGCAGAACGGATTGACGCCTGGAGAAACAAGTCGCTGAGCAGAAACGAGTCGCTGAGCACATTCCAGAATGGGTTGAAAAAGCCATGCAAAATAATATTCAAAATGAGAATACTGGCAGCAGAGTTCACCCCTCTTGACAGGTGGTGTCTAAAAATAACGCATTTCAAATCCTTCATACATCAACCAATGGCAGAACGCGAAGATTTCTCGAAGCCTCCGGGATTCGTCACCTACGCCCAGAACTCTGTATTCAGAAAGAGATGGTTCTTTCTTTACGGCTGCTCTGGTAAAAACAGGCAGTCATGTTTGGTCGTTGTTAAAATTGTACTTCAGTTATAAAGGATTCACTTATTTGCTTCATTTATGTAATTGTTACTGTAGTATGCACCTGACGAGATACAGCGAATATGCCAGGCAATAAATTGTGCAATCTATTGTTTTGTGTCTTCTTTGTTCAAATATTATATATGTCTGCTTGTGGGAAGATTATATATGAATGCATGTAAAAATATGATTATATATGTATGCATGTAAATATATATATATATATCGATGCTGGTGATGATGAAAGTGAAAATAGTTCAATTATTAGACATTTAGTTAAATAAATTTTTTTTCGTGTTACAGGGAAACAACTTGTAACATGGCCAAGGATTTCAAATGTTATGTTTTTGAAAGTGAAGATCAAGGAGAGGTAAGCTGTGCCCTTGTTAAAGTGGATTAGATAGCTATAATTACAAGCCTGAGGAAGGAAGCCAACATGGTGTAGCAGCTAGCACTTGCTTGTGGAAGTAAAGGGTTCAGGCCCTGACAGAGCAAGACTTTTTTTTCTTCAAAATTCACCTTGGCTTCCAGGTTGGTGCAGCCTTAAATGGTTACCAGGTAAAGTCCTGGGAAGTAAAAGTGGCCGACCATGATGTTGATCATATTACCCACTGATTGCTGATTGGTCTATAAAATATGTGTCTTAAGCCATAAATGCACACCTTATTTCCATTCTAAATAAAGTGTCCAGTTGTCAGATGCGTTTTTCTTTTAAGCTATCACCTTGGCTGTTGTAACCCAGCCTATGGGTTGAACAGGGTTTTCTGGGACCCATCCCTGAGTGATTCTCATCTGAATGGCGACACTTCCCTAAGTGATTCTCATCTGAAATGGTGACACTTTGTATCACTAGGTGTTTATTGCTTGGTGTGAGGTCCTGACGGTTTTGAACGTCAGTCAGTTAGTCTGCACACCTAATCCGTATGAAGGGCTTGAAAAAGGGCTCTTTACCTTTAACTTTACAAACCTAAAGTTAAGTAATCAATAGGTAGCAGGCAGTTTTATGAAATTGTCTAGGAAGGATACACAATGAAGGAGAAAACTGGTCACTCCACTTTATGGTGACAGTGTTCCTTCTTCTTCATCTTCTTCTTATTCTTCTTCTTCATCATCTTCTTTCTTCTTCTTCTTCTTCTTCGCATTCACCGGCTGTAAACTTTGGCGGGAAGTACTGGTTGTTTGTCCATCTCTGGACTTTGGACTTGTTCCAAAATCTAAGTGTTGCATGCACATCCGTTTTTAAAGATCTGACTTATTTGTATGCAGACTGTTAGTTCCTTGCCTCTCAGGCAGACGCACTTCGGCTTCAAAGGAAACCCCCAACTAGTTGACTGTAGCATCCCTGTAGCAATATACAGATTTGAGTGTTGGACTAACTCAGTCATTAAAGACAAAATGGAGGCTTATGAGCTGAACTGAAATAGAAAGATTCTCAGAATACCATAGACAAAGAAAAAAACAGAAATACTGACATCCTAAAAGGTCCGAAAATCAAATGGGCCATGGCCATTGAGTTAACCGTATGTGTCGATTCCTCCCCACCAAATATATAGTTGACACATTCCGTTTCTGGGGACAGCTTTTATCGAGTTTGCTCTCTAGACAGTTGCAGTCCCCTGCTGACGAGATTCTGTCTTCCCGAGTGGACCGCAGCGATCAAAACATTGCGAAGGCAGCGTGGTCGAGGCTGCCAAAACTATCGGTCATTATCCCGCCCCGACACAGCACAACCACAATACACTCTGTTCCCACGAAAAACACATAATATCCTGCATTGGAAATGCGCATAAAATAGCAGTCCATGATTATGAAACAGAACAATCCGAGAGAATTGACAGCCAGCGAAAATAAACACAGCTGCCGTCCGCCATTTTGAAAACGGAAGTCCCGAACATCAAAAAAGATTGGCTAGTAAACAGTATCTTGTCTCCGAGACTGAAATATTTTGGCCGTTTCAACCACCACGGTGGCCTGGATAAAATTATCAGCCGCAGGCATGGTACAAGAAAGAGGAGCAAGGGCCAACCAGTGCAAAGATGGGCACACAATATATCTTGGGTAATGGGTAGGAAAATGTGCAAGGGGAGAGCTGGTGAGAGACTGAGTAGTTTGTGTGTGTGTATGGCTGGGTTTACCTAGAGCCTTTAGATATGAAACAATTGTGTATGAATGATCCATAGGTCACCTAGTCATTCCCAAACTTATATTGTGTTTTTGTTGTTCTTTCAGGCAAAGATTATCCTGTGTAGTATTGGTAAGTTATTGAAACAAGTATTCCACTATATATATATATACACACATTCGCACATATTCAGTTGTGTATATTTCTGATGTTGGGGGGAGGGGGGAGTGATAGTAACACAGTAACTGACTGACTGACTGACTTTCTACCCCACTAGGACATCACACAAGCGATAAACACCCGATGACACAAAGTGCCACCATGCGGATGAGGATCGCCGTGGAGAGGTCCCAGAAACCGCATTCAGACAATTGGCCATATTTATGGCCTGCCTATATTACAGCCCCTGGCAAAAGCCAGGGTAGGGCTTCAAATAACAAAAAATTTCATCCTAAACAGGATTAAACACAGTAACTTGCAAAGTAACCTGTTCAGTAGTCATGCTTTCAAATATCCTTCTAGGACACGATCTCCGCTCCCCCCCCCCCCCCAACCACCATTTTTTCATTAGCCTGGGCTGTTAGTTAAATTGAGCCGGAAAGAGACAAATTCTTGGAAAGCTAAGGCAGCTGACATGATGTTGATTATGCATTAAGTGGTGATTAGTCTAAAAAATATAGGGCTAATGCATGGGACAAGAGTGATGCAGGTATTGATAGGGATTCATAGGAACAGAATACCATGGACTGTACTGAATGGTGGTGAACATTAGGAAGGGAACAGGGGTAATGGAGAAAATGACTGCAGATAGGTTCAGAGCTGAGCTTTGTAGAAGAAGTACGTGAAACATATACGATGGCAACAGTGATCCTGAAATCCCATGCTCCAATTGTGGAAGACATGAGAGGGTCTTGCCATCACTGTGAGTGGTGGTCCTGTGTTTCTCTTTTGCACAGCGGTTCTTAGCCTGTGGGTCCTGACTCCTTTGTGAGTCAAACAACCCTTTTATAGAGGTTGCCTAAGACCATAAAAAAAACCATATTCACTAAAGTTATGAAGTAGCAACGAAAAATAATTTTAAAGTTGGGGGGTCACCGCAGCATGAAGAACTGTATTAAATGGTCATGGCATTAGAAAGATTGAGAACCGCTGCTTCAGCAACTTATAACAGTATCTTCTGTAAATACAGAAAGGGGCCAATAACAACGATATTCCCAGTAATTCCAATGATGATTATGGATCTTATACTTGTTTACTTACTTGTTTGGTCAACATATGATTGAGAGTCTCCATCGTGGAGTTGTCAAGCCGTTTGTCTTGTGCTGTGAAGGTTGTTGGTTTGTTTCATGGGCTGAATCACTCAGTTCATGGTGTGCGGTACTTACAGAGATTCCTGGGGATAATTGCTGGAGCTGTGGAGTTTGTGCTTTGTACAACACTTTGCAGGCAATTGCCATTCTTCGCAGAGAGGTCGAGCCATATGGAATATAATCTGGTGCATTCAGATGACTGTTAATATCTTATGTCCTCAGGAATCAAACACATCTTTGAGGGTTGAGTCCTAGCTACTGTTTGTAAGCTGTTTTTCATGTCACCATTTGTTACCAGGCTTTTTAAGAGAAGTAAAGAATAGTAAACCTATACTACCCTATCAGGCATGCTGTCAAAGGTGACTGAGGGTAGGGTTGGCCTTGGAGTTTGCAATCCTAAGCTCAAAAAATACTTTAGCTACAAAAATCAACCAGTTATGGACCAGTCTAAACAGGCATTTTATTTTTATACATACACTGTGCCTTTATTCTCCAACATAATTTCCTACCGACATTGATGCACTTGTCCCATCATTGCAAATGCGCATGCAACACCAAGCACCACCTAACGGATCGGAAACATAAAGTTGGATGTTGCTGTCACCTAATGATACCTTAAGAAACCACCAGCTACATTTTCCTGCCATCCCATAACCATTTGTAACTTACTTTTTTGCTTCCTCTCGTACCAGCACCCAAAACAATATAATTTGCAAGTTTATTTTCAAAGCCATGCGTGAAAATTAAGAATAAAGCAAGAATGAAATCATGAACTTTGAACAACGGGTCAACATCTTGGCACACGGGTAGTAACCCATAAGTGCTCCATTCTTCTTCTAACCCAAGTCTGAATCCGAAGACGCTCAGCACAGTGCACAGGCTCTGTAGCAGGGGCGAGGATCCTGAAATACTTTAGGTAGATTTTTAACTCTAAATTTTTCCTGGGCAGCACCTTAGGCTAATCTTTTCGATTTCCAACTGCCAAGGAGTCTTTTACATGCACAACAATGCACACGGGCGTCCGATCTCACTACCCAGAGACCAGGAGGAATTACTAGAAGTCCAAGTCCACGTGAGAAAATCTCAGCCCATACCAGGGATTGAACCTGGAACCTCTAGCACTTGAGGCGGCGCCATGCCTAAAGACCACTCCCCCCCTCCACACCCCCACCCCCCCCCCCCCCCCCCCCCCCAATGAAATCATGATAGCACTCTGTATGTATTCTCAGCTAATATTTAAATATATATTTTTTTTTCTTCAGCACAAGGCTTTGAAAGAACACACTGGTTCTTATAAAGAGAGCATGATCGTTGTCAAGAGAGGAGCGGGGTTAACGCCCCACCTTCTCCACTACTAGCTGTTGCTTTCCTGTGTGTTGGTCTGTTCTACTGCATCAGTTGACACATTGTAGTATTTGGATAATGGCTTTTTATATACAAAACAATTATATAACCTAACTCTATATTGCAATCAACGTAAACATTTAGCCATTGTTTATGAAGTCACTAAAATATATTTTTCAATTAGGACCTAATGTCTGCTTGCAGTTTTTTCTTCTTGTTTGCCTGACATTTATTCTCACATTTTGTGTGTGTATTTTGCTAGATTTTATGTGATGTTTTTAGTAGGACTAAGCAATTAGTCTTTTACTGAAACTAATCTTATGAATATAACATTGATATGAAACAATTTCCTCTTTTTAACTTCAATATGTTTTAAAGTTCTGGCTGTCCAAAATTCGCATAAAAAGTAAATATATTTATTGCCATCAATTGTAAGAAGTGTACATTTTTCTGCTGTATTGGTTTGTTTTACAGTTCTTCTTAGAAACATGTTAAAATTTGATTTATGCTCTTTGTGGGAGTATGGGGGGGGGGGGGGGGGGGGGGGGGGGGGGGTATTACAATCTATTTGTAGTAAATGACCAGTTGTTAAATGACAAAGATGTCACAGTTCATCAGAGGCTTTCTAAGTTTGGCTTTGAATTCTTCTTCTTCTTCAGAGATCTCTGGTCATGCGCATAATCCACTGTGGGTCATAAACTGGGATGTCTTTTCAAGGTCTCTTAGGTTTCCCCAAAGCTTAGTTGTCAGGTCTACTGGGTGTTGCCATATGTTGCTCCGCAGGAGAGGACAGTCTTGCAGGGCATGTTCTGGAGTCTGTTCAGCACGAAGGCACAGGCAGAGAGTTGTTTGGCTCATACCTAATTTATATGAGTGTTTTTTGAGTCTGCAGTGTCCAGTATGTAAGTGAAAAACTGTGACTTGTTCTGTTCAAGTGTTTCAGTAAATCTTTTTCTTAGTTATAATCAGTGTTGGTTTTCCAATCTGTTTCTGATTTTCTCTTAATGAGAGTTTTGACTTCTGGAAAAGTAAGTGGCTGGTAGGTCTGTGGTTTGTTACTGCCTTCCTTGGCTAAAGCATCAGCGCTTTCATTGCCTTTGATGCCACAGTGAGATGGAATCCACTGCAAGTGAATTTCTGCCTTTTTTGACAACATAGCAAGTTCCTTTGTTAGACTTTGTAGTGTGCTGTGGGTAGGTTTGGACTCAAGGGCCTGTATAGCTGACGGTGAGTCAGTGAGAAAAACTATCCTGCCTGCGGTGATTTGCAGATTGTTCATATACTGTGCTGCCATCAATAGGGCTGAGAGTTCTGCCTTGTAGTTAGAGCAGGTTCGTCCAGTGGGGGCTGCTAGGGACACAGTAGTGGCATCTGGGTGTTTTATGTAAACACCTGCCCCACCATTCGTAGTTGCCTCTTTTGCTAATCCATCCATGTAGATTCTCGTCCAGCTGTGCTGTGGGAACATGTTGTTGAGGTGTTCCATTGTGAGTGCTTTCTTTACTAAAGTGGGCTCAGCATCTTTGTTTCCCAGGTTCGGGATGGATGTTGACACATTGAGTGTCAATAATTCGGAGTCCCAGAGATCGAAAGATAGCTCTTCAGGTGTACATTCGTTAGATGGTTTAGGCTTGTGCGCTTTATTCGTTTTTTTTGTCCTGACTGCTAATTTTTCGTGTAATGGGTGGTTTAGCATTCTCTTCATTTTTTCCGCATGTAGAATTGCTTTTGTCCTTCTTCTTTCTTCTTCTTCGTTTTGTCTAGTACCTGTTTATTGGAATGGGCTGCTGTTATCCATGACGATGATGCATATTCGAGAGTTGGTCTGACTGTGCCGGTGTATACCTGCTTCAAGATGTGACTGTCTGCTCCCCAAGTGGTGCCTGCCAATTTCTTCATCACACCTTGTTTTTTCATAGCTTTTTTGTTAGTTTCTAGTATGTGATGTTTCGATGTCAGATGACTGTCAAGCTGGACGCCCAGGAAGGTTGGAGTATTGGAGCGTGGAACAGCATCATTGTTGAATTTTAATGTAAACTTTTCCTCCTTTGTAGACAATGAGAAGAGTGTTGCAACAGTTTTGTTCTTGTTTACTTCGAGGCCCCATTTGTTGGCCCAGTTTATGACACTATTCACACTTTCCTGGTCATCTGCATGAAGAGAATGTGATACATGTCTGGGTAAAGCTTGAGGTAGGTCCTTGATGTAGATCAGGAACAGGACTGGAGACAGTACACTACCCTATGGTACTCCTGCTCTCAGCTTGAATCTGGGACTATGTGCTTCATCCAGTTTCACAGATGCCCGCCTGTGGGATAGGAAGTCTTGTATCCAGTAGTACATTCTCCCTCTTATTCCACTATGTAAGAGCTTTAGCATCAAGCCATCCTTCCATATTTTGTCAAAGGCCTTGGACATATCAAAAAAGACTGTGAGGGTTTTCTTCTTTTCCTGGAAGCCATTTTCTATGTCCTGTGTAAGGTGTGCTACCTGGTCATCAGTGCTTCTGTGCTGTCGGTAGCCTGTCTGAGCCGGGTCCAGTTTGTGATTGGATTCTAGGAACCATTGAAGTCTGGTGGCCAGCACTCTCTCCATCAGTTTTGCAGGGCAACTTAGCAAACTGACAGGCCTGTAGCTCTGGGGGTCCTTCTTGTCCTTGCCACTTTTGAGGATAGGGTGGATTATAGCATTTTTCCAGATATCTGGGACTCTGCCTAGTTTCCAGCTATTGTTGTATATCTGGAGTAAGATGTTTTATGCTACTGGACCCATATGTTTGAGCATGTCGTTTGAGACTTCGTCTACGCCAGGCGCCTTCTTTGACTTGAGTTTTCTCAGTGCTCTTAGCAGCTCAGCATTGTATTGATTATGGAAAAATAGTTGAACAGCACCTTTCTTTCTTTCACTCTTTCTTATCATTCTTCTGTATCGAGGGTGACAGAGCACTTGTATTTTGGTCTGTAGTGTCATGATATCAGTTCATCATCATCATCATCATGTAGCAGGTCCTTTGCAGAACGTTGCTCTCATCACGGTCTGCCTGGAAAAAAAAACTGTTTTTCGCCAGCTCTCCTGCCTTGTGTACTTTTACACTCAAGGAGTCACTTATATCCTGTGCCCATCTTCGTGTTGTTCGGCCTCTGGCTCTCCTTCCTGGTACCATGCCTTCTGCTATTATTTATTTTGTATCAGTTAGCAATAGAAATTATGTTCGTATTTTTCCTTATTGCAATTGTTAAAGTGTTTTTCCTTTATTGCAGTTATATTAGTGTTTTTTCTTTATTACAGCATTTTGGGTTTTTCTTTATTGCAGTTATGTTGAGGTTTTTTTCTTTATTGCAGTTATGTTAGGGTTTTGTTTTTTTATTGTGGTTATATTAGTGTTTGTTTCTTTATTGCAGTTATGTTAGTATTTTTTTTCTTTATTGCAGTTATGTTAGTGTTTTTCTTCTTAATTGCAGTTATGTTAGTGTTTTTTTTTTCTTTATTGCAGTTATGTTCGTGTTTTTTTCTTTATTGCAGTTATGTTAGTGTTTTTTTTCTTTATTGCAGTTATGTTCGTGTTTGTTTCTTTATTGCAGTTATGTTAGTGTTTTTTTTTCTTTATTGCAGTTATGTTAGTGTTTGTTTCTTTATTGCAGTTATGTTAGTGTTTTTTTTTCTTTATTGCAGTTATGTTAGTGTTTGTTTCTTTATTGCAGTTATGTTAGTTTTTTTTTTCTTTATTGCAGTTATGTTCGTGTTTTGTTTCTTTATTGCAGTTATGTTAGTGTTTTTTTTCTTTATTGCAGTTATGTTAGTGTTTGTTTCTGCATTGCAGTTTTGTTAATGTTTGTTCCTTTATTGCAGTTATGTTAGTGTTTGTTTCTTTATTGCAGTTATTTTAGTGTTTGTTTCTTTATTGCAGTTATGTTAGTGTTTTTCTTTATTGCAGTTATGTTAGTGTTTTTCTTTATTGCAGTTTTGTTAGTGTTTTTCTTTTATTGCAGTTATGTTAGTGTTTTTCTTTGTTGCTGTTATGTTAGTGTTTTTTCTTTATTGCAGTTATGTTAGTGTTTGTTTCTTTTTTGCAGTTATGTTAGTGTTTTTTTCTTTATTGCAATTATGTTAGTGTTTTTTTTAAATTGTAGTTATGTTAGTGTTTTTCCTTTATTGCAGTTATGTGTTTTTTTTTCTTTATTGCAGTTATGATAGTGTTTGTTTCTTTATTGCAGTTATGTTAGTGTTTGTTTCTTTATTGCAGTTATGTTATTGTTTGTTTCTTTATTGCAGTTATGTTAGTGGTTTTTTTTTTCTTTATTGCAGTTATGTTAGTGTTTTTCTTTTACTATAGTTATATTAATGGTTTTTTTTCTTTATTGCAGTTATGTTAGTGTTTTTCCTTTATTGCAGTTATGTTTTGTTTTTTTCCTTTATTACATTATTGCATTTATGTTACTGTTTCTCCTTTATTTTATTGCTGCACTTTAGTTTGTGCAATATTTTGATGCTGTTGTTCCTTTGATTGTCTTTCAGTTAGATTTTGGCAACATTCAGTCAAATAATGTTGCAGTGCCATAGTGGGGAATGTTTGGGATTTAACAAATATTTCAGGCACAGTCTCATGATATTGTTTTAAGAATTGTAAAAGTTGTTTTGTTGCATTATTCTACATTTGTTATGTGTTTGTACAATATTCTGATGTTACTGTTTTTGTATGTATGTTATGTTTCTGTAGATTTTGGTAGTATTCAGTCACGGAACAGGTAGAGCTATATTGTAGTATGTTTGAAGTTTCTCTTATACTCCAAGTGCAGTCTCATGAGATCATTACAAGATCCAGAAATACCTCACTACATTGTTGACATTAGGTGAAAGAGTAGGGGTCACAAGAGAAAAGCCATATTTGATAAATAAGGACTATAAATTAGTCCTTAAGGAAGAAAAGAAAGGCTTTTGAATTGAAACACTATA